TTTTGCTCAAGGTAATTAATAAACAGCTGCAACAGTACATTGACTGGGCACTGTCAGAATTTGAAGCAGGATTCAGATCAGGACATGGAACGAGGGGTATCATTGCAGACATCAGATGGATATTGCTTGAAAGCAGAGAATACCAGAAGGATGTATCCTTGTGCTTTACTGACTATGCAAAGGCTTTTGATTGTGTGGAGCATAACAAGCTATGGACAACATTGTGAAGAATGAGTATTCCGGAACAATTAATTGTGCTCATGAGGAAGTCATCCCAACATAACAAAGGAATACTGAATGGTTTAAAATCGGGAAAGGTGTGCGATAGGGTTGTATTCTTTCACCATACTTATTCAGCCTGTAGATGAGCAAATAATCCAAGAAGCAGGGTTCTATGAAGAAAAATGTGGCATCAGGATTGGAGGAAGGCTCATTAACAACCTGCAATATGCAGATGATACAACCTTGCTGGCTGAAAATGAAAAGTACTTACTGATGAAGATCAAAAACCACAGCCTTCGGTATGGGTTGCACCTCATTGTAAAGAAAACCAAAATACTCGCCACTGGACCAATAAACAACATCCATAAAAATGGAGAAAAATTTGAAGTTGTCAAAGGATTCAGTTTGCTTAGATCCACCATCACCACTCATGGGAGTAGCAGTCAAAAATTAAACAACATATTGCTTAGAAACATTTGCTGTACAAGACTTCTCTAGAGTGTTGAAGAGCAAGGATACCAGTTTGAGGACTCTTGGTCTGTGTATAGATTCTTCATGAGCCCAATGAAGTGTTCCAGAATACTCATTCTTCACGACGTTGTCCATAGCTTGTCCTGATCCACACAATTGAAGGCCTTTGCATATCAATAAAGCATGGGTAAACACCTTTCTAGTATTCTCTTCTTTCAGCCAAGATCCATCTGATGTAAGCAGTGGTATCCCTCGTTTCACATCCTTAACACAAAACTTGCAGCATAGCACACAAAATACAAAACACATACACAACAAACAACACATACACAAGTGCACAGACACCCCCCAAACACAGAAAACACTCACACACACAGGAAAACACAACACTGAGAGAGAGAAAGAGAGAGAGAGAGAGAGAGAGAGAGGACACAGACAGGGACATGACACAGACAAGCAGATAAACACACACACCCTACACCATCCCATCCCTCCCCAACCCAGGAGGAGACAGTGGCCAAGAATCCTTTTCACTCAAGTCTGGGACATCACCAGCCACCCATACCTAAGCCAGAACCAAACACAAGGGAGTGGCTGGTGGGTTTCAACTGCTGACTGTGTGACTCAAACTGACCTTGCAGTCCAGTGCATTATCCTGCAGTGCTACACCAGGATTATGTCCCCCCCAAAAATGTGTTATAAATCCTAACCTCTATGCCTGTGGTCATTATAACAAAATGTGCAAAGACCTGGAGGTAGAAAACTAAAAAGGAAGAACTTCTCAGCATTTCTCAAGCTGAGGGAACAGAAGAAAAGATTAAAACTTCGACTTGTGGTATTGAAGGATTCTATTGGCAAAATACTGAATGATGCAGAAAGCACCAAAAGATGATGGAAGGAATACACAGAGGCACTGTACCAAAAAGAAATGGTCAATATTCACCCACATCAAGAGGGAGCATATGATCAAGAGCTAATGATACTGAAGAAGTTCAAGATGTACTGAAGTCATAAACAATGCATGGCACTGGGAACTGATGGAATACAAATTGAAATCTTATAACAAACTGAGGTAGTACATAGTACTCACTGATCTATGCCAAGACATTTGGAGGACAACTACTTGGCCAACTGACTGGAAGAGATCCATATTTGTGCCCATTCCAAAGACAGGTGATCCAATGGAATGCAGGAATCATCAGACAATATCAATGCTATCCCATGCAAGTAAAGGTTTATTAAAGATAAAAAAAATAATAATAATAAATGGCTGCAACCATACATTGACATAGAACTTCCAGAGCTTCAAGCTACATTCAGAAGAAGACGTGGAACAAGGGATATCATTGCAGACATCAGATGGGTGACAGTAGAGAATACCAGAAAGATGTTTACCTGTGCTTTACTAACTATGCAAAGGCTTTTGATTGTGTGGATCATGACAAGCTATGGACAACATTGCAAAGTATGAGTATTTCTGGAACACTTAATTGTGTTTATGAGGTACCTGCATATAGAAGAAGAGGCAGTTGTTTGAACAAAACAAGGGAACACAGAATGGTTTTAAATCAGGAAAGGTGTGTGCCAGGGTTGTATTCTTTCACCATAGTATGCTGAACGAACAGTCTGGGAAACTGGATTACATGAAGAAAGATTTGACATTAGGATTGGAGGAAGACTCACTAACAACCTGTGATATGCAGATGACACTACCTTGCTTGTTGAAAGTGAAGACAACTTAAAATACTTATTGATAAAGATCAAAGACCACAGCCTTTGGTATGGTTTACACATTAATGTGAGAAGGACAAAAGTCCTCACCACTGGACCAATACGCAATATCTGTATAAGTGGCGAAAGTTGTGGAAGTCTTCATTTTGCTCAGATCAATTATCAACACTCATGGGAGCACAGTCAAGAAATCAAAGGATGTATTACATTAGGCAAATCTGCTGCATAAGACCTCTTTAAAGTGTTGAAGAGCAATGATGTCAGTTTAAAGACTATTGTGGGCTTGACCCAAGCCATGGTATTTTCGATAACTTCATATGCATGTGAAAGTCGGACAGTGAATAAGGAAAACCTTAGAAGAATTGATGCATTTGAGTTATAGTGTTGGAGAATATCGAAAGTACGATGGGCTGCCAAAAGAACATATAGATCTATTCGAAGAAGGGCAGCCAGAGTGCTCCTTAAAGGCCAGGATGGACAAATTGCAGCTCTTATACTTTGAACAGATTGTCAGGAGGGACCCACCCCTGGAGAAGGTTTTCATATTTCGTAAAGTGAAAGACTGGAGAACAAGATCCCACCCCCAACCCCCCTCCCCCCCCCATGAGATGCACTGGAACAGTGGCAGCAGCAAGAACTCAGGTGTAGCAACAATTGTGTGGCAGGCCCAGGTCTTGGCAGTGTTTGGTTTAATACAGACTGGATGGCACCTAACAACAACATGCCTGTAGTTATAATCCAATTTAGGAATATTTTTTCTTTGTGATATTAATGAGACAGGGTTTGTGTATGGTACGTCTTGAGGCAGTATCTTTTGCCATATAAAAGAGCTTAAACTCAAGCTGGCAAGCTGAGATAGGGGAAGAGACCTCCCACCCAAAGGAGGTGAGGTCATCACTGAGATGGACTAGGAGAATGAGGTCACTGAAAGACAAGAGAGCAGCATTGCCTTCCCAGTTGTCCTGGAAGGTGGAGAATCCATCCAGAATCCAGAGGATGTGGCCAACCACCAAGGTTTATAGGGCAGGGCCATTGCCCACCTGGTCTCAGTGAGTAGAGGATTATTTTCAAGCCTTCAGAGCTAATGTAAATGTTTTTCTGGGTTTAGGGCTTGTTTGGTGTGCATTATCCCATCTCTCCTCCAATCTCTCAGATTTCTAATTTGTAGCTATCATTGTACTTTGGAAACAGATAAAATGTATTCACAGGTTCACAGATGAAGAGGAATAAAAAATTCCTAGTCTCACCCTTAATTAAGTATTTCAGAATACTTAAGTATTCACAATGATATTTTGGATTTGAGTTGGTTTTACACTTTTGTGATGATGTGATGGGGTGAATCTGTTTATCAAATGGCAATAACATAAATCATTGCGGGGCAAAAGGTAAAGGTTTGGATTAAACTATGTGGCTCCACAATAAGCATTTGGTAATGTGGTCTTTGTTATGTTAATAAACAGGATTAACATATGGTTTTAAGCCAGTGTCTTTTTAGATAACTGTTGTTGTTAAGTGTGGAATCGGTTCCCACTCATAGTGACCCTGTATAGGGTTTCCAAGGAGCAGCTGGTGAGCTTGGACCTGTGGTCCAAATTGACCTTGCAGTCCAGAGCATTAACCCACAGAGCCACACCAGGACTTCAGATAACTGTATAAAAAGAGATGAAGCTAGTTAGTGAGCAGAGATGGAGGGGCATGCCAAATCCCATGAAGATCGCTGAGAAAAGAGAGATTGAAAGTCTTCCCTTAATGCCAGCTAAATTCACACTTCCAGTGTCAGTGGAGAAGGATATCATGTTTGATAAGGTGGAGCGTCAGAGAAAGAGGAAGACCCCCAGTGAGATGGGTTGGCAAAGTGGCTGAATCTTGGCAACAACAGTGAGGTTAGCCCAGCACCAGGCAGTGTTTCCTTCTGTTATGCATAGGGTCGCTATAAAGCGGTACTGACTCGATGGCACCTAACAACAAGTCTTCTAGTTTGTTAGAAAACAAATTTGTTTGTTAGAGGCACTATAACTAAGCACTCTGTAACTACCGACAGCGGTGTTTCAGGGAGGAAAATGCTGTGCTGTGACATAGGTTCACAGAGTAACGTTAGGCTCCACGTGGGCGGATGCAGGAAGGCTCCAGGGCGAGACTCATAATACTCGAACAGATCTTTCGTCCTTCCTTCTCGTTTCTCCTCTCATTTACAACACAATGGCTTTGGCCAGGAGAACTGAAAGTAGATAAAGCTTTGTAATTTCTCCTAGGGCTTTTCTGGCAGCTCAGATAAAATTTATGGGTTGATTTCCAACGCGATAAAGTACAGACGAAAAAAACAAAGAAGGCTGTGAACAAACTTCACATACGTCCGCTTTTTCGCGGTTCGCGCCAGCGCGATACATCACTTCCGCTCCCTCCCGCGGAGGCGGGGAAACGACAGTGTATGACGTTAACGTTTCCGGGTCGTTCAGGCCGCCTCGGGCGGCGCAGGCGTCAAGATCCGCAGGTGTTCAGTCTATGGAGGCAGTTGGTGCCGGTGACGGCGGGGAGGCAGGAGGCGGTGTTGGAGTACCGGCTGTCGCCCCGCCAGGATGTTACCTGGCCTGGCCGCCGCCGCCGCGGCCCACAGATGTAGCTGGTCCTCATGGAACCGGCTTCGTCTGCCCTGCAGGGCGGCGGTCCGCGGCTCCTATGACCGCCAGGGTGAGTGTCCCGCGCCGGACGCGCCTCTGCGGAAGTCGGACTGGAGGGCCAGACCGAGCTCGGTGCCTCGCCCGCTTCCCTTTCCTCAAACCCGAAACCTTCCTTGCGGGCCTCAGCCGTTGTGTTTCAGCCTGACGATCCGGGCGGCTACTGACAGGCCTCCTTGACTCGGGTTCGCCGGCCCTCGCACTTTCCCCCGGGCACTCGCGGATTGCTTGCCGGCTGGCCTGACGATTCGTATCGCAAAACATTCCGTGCACATCGCGGTGTCGGGCGGTGACCCATATAGCCCGTGGGCTATTGCAGACGCCACACAGTTAACAGGATCTTTTTCAGTTTCTCTAAATCATCCTCTTTGAACACTTCAGGCCGATTGGATTTTTTTGTTCTGCTGGATTTTCTCATACACTCAAGTTAGTAAATGCCCAGAAAGTAGAACCAAACTAAAAATTCACAGCTAATGAGCTGATTTAGATTCATATTATTGTTAGATGCCGTCGAGTGTGTCCTAACTCATAGTGATCCTGTACAGGATTTCCGATGCTGTAAATCTTGTCGAGTTCAGGAAGCCTCGAACTGCTGCTAACCTCGTGGGTTAGCAGCCCAACGCATAACCCACTAACCACCAGGGCTTCCTATAGATTCGGTGTTGTGTGCTATCAAGTTGGTTCTTAATCAGCTATCCTGCTGTATGGAGTTTCCCAGAGTGGCTGGTGAGTTTAAACTGCTGACCTTGCGGTTTCAGTCCAGCACTACTACAATCCAGGGCTCATTTTGTTGTTGTTGTTAAGTGCCATTGAGTCGGTTCCGACCCATAGCGATCCTTTATAGGGTTTCTGAGAAGCAGCTGGTGAGCTTGAACAGCCGACCTTGAGGTTCACACGACCTTGCGCTCATTTGTTGTTGGTATGTGCCGTGGAGTCGGTTCCCACTCATAGCGACCCTGTACAGTGTTTCCGAGGCTGTAAATCTTTAAGGGAGCAGAAAGCCTCATCTTTCTCCAACAGAACAGCTGGTAGTTTCGAATTGCTGACCTTGCAGTTTGTAGCCTGATTCGTAACCACTATGCTACCAGCGCTCATTTAGACTCTTGTTATTGTTAAGTGCGGTCCAATTGGTTCCCACCCATAGAAACCCCTGTATACGGTTTCTGAGGAGCAGTTGGTAGGTGTGAGCTGCCAACCTTGTGATTAGCAATTAAGTGCTTATCCTACAGCACCACACCCGGAGTCCTGGTACCCTATATAGGGTTTCAGTGAGAGTAAATCTTTAAGGTAGCAGGCAGCCTTATCGCTCTTATGCCAGTGGCAGCTGGGGTTTCAGGGCCTTGCACACCATGGATTAATTTTTTTTTTTTAAGTTAATGATTTAAAACATCACTTTTTGACGACTGTGTGAAGAATGGATTGGTAAGTGGAAAGAGTCTGAGGAAAAGCACTGGGCTATGGTAGCTATCCTGGCAACAGGGTTGTGGTGGGGCCATGTGGTTAGCAGTGGACATGGAGAGAAGTGGATGGGTCTGAGATCGATTTTGGAGTATAAAATATAATGTTGTTAAGTATTGTCAAGTTGGTTCCGATTCATAGTAAACCTTTCTGAGAGAGCAGAAAGCCTCATCATATATATGTAGATAGGACTCCTGGTGAGGTGCCATAGGATAAAGCACAGGACTGTGAACTACAAGGTTGCAGCTCAAGCCCACCAGCTGCCCCTGAGAAACCCTATACAGGGTTGCTATAAGTTGGAACTGACTCCACGGCACTTAACAACAACAACATATATGTAAGTCAAAATTTTTGCTGCAAAATCATAAAAACATTTATTAAACAGAAAAATCAAAATTTGAAGCAACTGTATTTCGATATAGTCTCCATCTAAGTTTTCATACTTCTGAAGTTTTCCCAGGGAAATTCTCATACAACTGCCCTTGCTACCCTTGAAGAATGAGCAGGAGTTCTGTTGTGATTAAAAAAAATGATCAGTGCAACTTTTTTGGCCTTTTTCACACCTGTGTAGTTTTCAATTTTCTTAAGGTTTCATATTAAGCCCCTGTGACTGTTTTGTGTCCTTTGAGAAAATGTATCAAGAACACCCCCCTACCCCCCACCCCAAACAGCCATAACCTTCTGAGTTGACCTCTGGTTGAATTGAACTGGTACAGCAGATCACCACCGGAGCTACTGTTTTGATTGGACTTCTAATTGAAGGCACCCAGGTTTGCTACTGAGGACTTGTCTGCAGCTATCCACTGATTGCAGAGACGTGTTTAAAAATGGTTTGTTTGGAACAAACCTGTGAGCTGGAACCTTAGTAACAATACTTTTTGATTTATACTCATATATCTAGAAAGGCTTACTTCAAGGAAATGGATCATTTAGTTGTGGTGGAGGTTGGTGGTTGTGTGCTGTCGAGTTGGTTCCAACTCACAGTGACCCTTTTAGGGATTTTGAGGTTATAAATCGGAGTCCTGATGTGGCGCTTGTGGGTTAATGCGCCAGACTGCAAAGCTGTTTGAACAACAAGGTCGGCAGTTCAAGCTCACCAGCTGCTCCTCGGAAACCCTATACAGGGTCACTGTGGGTCGGAACTGACTCAACGGCACTTCACAACAACAACAACAAGTCTTTACAGTAATAGAAAGCCTCATCTTTCTCCTGTGGAGCAGCTGGTAGCCATCTCTGGACTCAAGAGATTGTGGTCAGGGAGTAGGCTGCTGGCTCACATCCCAAGAACTGTCAGTCAGAGGATGGTGAGTTGGATGTAGCCTGGAAAGACTAAGCTTTGCCAGGCATCCATATATATTGGATGTAGGCTGTACCCTTAAGGAACTCCCCTTTCAACTCTTTTGTTAAATGCCATCAAGTTGGTTGCAACTCATAGATAGCTACCCTATATAGGGTTTGCAAGGCTGCAAATCTTGGGAGCAGAAAGCCTCAGCTACTCCCACAGAGTGACTGGTGGGTTCATATTGGCTACTCACATTGGTCATAAAATGGAGGATGACTATGAGTCGGGCTGCTTACCTCAAGGTCTGCAGTTCGAAACTACCAGCCGCTCTACGGGAGAAAGATGAGGCTTTCTGCTCCCGTA